CACCCAAGAATCCTAAAACAAAGCATCAAACTACTTAGAGATAGTTGTCCAACTCATTCAATAATGTGGATGTGACAATAAATACTCAATGTAAGCCAACTTTACTAAATTTTTTTCCTAAATATAACTTGAGTTCTTGGATATGCCTTCAAATACAAGTGGGAACTGGGTATGCAAGTCATCTAATATAAAATATTTGACTAAAAGACTTCCAAATGGCGTCCCCTCCAAGCATACTGATGAAAAACACCCATCAAGTATCAAACCAACGTTTCTTTGCACCGCACTTGTTTCTTGAATGCCCCACAAAAGTGGCTCCCTCATTGCCATGAAGAGTTAATCATCTCAATATAAAATTGTATGCAGGATTGTTTACCAGCATCTGGGCACCAATTTTTTCAAGTATCATTTTGTGTATCACATTCAATCTTTAGTTAGTATCTGTTCATTGTCACACCAATGGCCATGAAATACTTGTGAAGGCAGAGGAAGCTTCACTGAAGAGCAAGAAGCTCTTGGTGGTCAATTCATGGAATGTAATGAAGAAAATACTGGAGAATTGGGTCTGAATTCTTCTTAAGTAAGCATATGCCTGTACTTGATCTTCCTTATATTATATAAATTTTCTCCACTATTGATTTTTTTCTTAATAGGATATTTGAGATTGCACCATCAGCCCAGAAGCTGTTCTCATTCTTGTCGAAACCACCTGTCCTCTAGGCAGAACCAGAACTCACAAGTCTCATGCCATGTCTGTTTTTTGTCATGGTGAGTTCATTAATCGACACATATATTGATAAACAAGCTTGCTTTCTTTACTATTTTTGTTTGTGTATGTATTTCTTACAGACATGTGAATCAGCTGTACAACTCAGGAAAGCTGAAAAGTAACAGTACAGAGAGTCCAACTCTGAAAAAATTAGGACTAACCCATTTTCAAATATGAGAGTTAATGAACATTTCGAGTATAAATTCATTCTGTTATTGAAAACATGCATACTTTCTTGTTTTCTCTGGAAGTTAATTAATTTTATGGCCATATGAACTGTTCAACAGGTCCAAATTTGCACTATTGAAACCATAAAGGAAGCATTTCAGAAATGTGGTCACCAGAATAAGATGCTTGGGGAGAAGCTTATGATCAATTGGTTCTGCTATAAAGCTGAAATGAACCTTCCTCTTAGAATGTTGCTGAAAAATAAAACACATACGGTTGTATACGTCGTATTTGTATCTTTTAGTGTTAGTTGATGATAATACCCGTTTTGATTATTGTCTCAGCCATATTCCTGAAAGAGTTTGCAGAAGAGACTGGGACTGATTAAATTAAATAGTAAATGCTAAACAGTTACGAAGATTGCGCACGAATGACTGTGGAAAATCCTGAACCATTTAGTCATTATTAGTTAATATTAACACGTCTAAGATTTGTCCCATCATTGGTGTACAATCGGTTACACTTCGTGGCCTATTCTTTTTCTATTAAATTCCTTTACTCAACAGTAAAGTGCCTTTTGAGTGAAAAAGCTGGGCAAAAGTTCGGGTCCTCCCCAAGAACGGCCCCTGTAGACCGTCCCATGCTCGGCCTGGCCGATTATCTTTTAGAATGCCTCTTACCAATAATCAAGACCTCCTGGCAATAACCTAATCCCTTTATAATATATGATACTTAAAAATTTACAGGATCATTCCCTTGTAATTACAAAACCTCCTTACATATTATCTAATATATATAAAAAGGGGTTAAATGGATATTTTAGGCCTGTATAGCACTGGCTCAAGGTTGGACCGATCTAAGCCCTCACAAAAGTGACGGGTCAGACCGGTCTTTGAGGGCCTGGGTTTGGGACCAACCGGGCCCCAACTTTGCCCAAAGCGACTATAAATTTGCAATCTTAGCCGACTCAACAGTGTTAGATCAATTAATAACATCCAATTAGGGATGAATTCTTTCTACAAAAAAAAAAAAATATAGTGTACCTAATAACGACTAAACAGCGAATATCCTCTATAATAATACTCGAATGTGAAAACACAAAGGGCTCCACTAATATTTTATTTCCCCTTACAATTCCAAAGCTCTAACAACTATCTATGCTGTCAAATATGATCAACTGTCGCTTTATCACTCAATTCTCCGTGCCACGCTGTCACCGCCACCTGAGCTTTTTTTTTGTAGATGGTGTTACCCTAATCCGTACTGTAAAACATTTAACATCATTTTTGTCCGATACATTGCAATAATTTAATCCGATGAGTAACCCCATGTGGGCACTAGCTTTAATGGCTAATTACACAATTTCCTTGAGAGTGAAAATGGAAGGTGTGATTTGTCAGTGCTGAGAAATAAATCTTGCCCAGTTGTGCAGTTCTTCTTCCGCCGCCAATGTGTGGCAAGTGAAGTCAATGGTACATGAGTTTCTGAGTGCAAATTAAGCAGCTTGGTATTCTGATAAGGACATGGCTGGGCTTTGATTGTTTGTTGAATTCTGCAGCCTGCCATCCAAGTGAATTATTTTGGCAGTTGATGATCCCATTTTCAGCCTTCTCCACCTTGTTTGTGCAGTGAGAAGAGCCACAAACTCCCCATTGGAATGTCTTGTGTTTAGAGATATAAGAGAAGAGAGAATCGGTCATTATGGATCTGAGATGTTGAGGATGCATTTAGTTAGGCAACTATGTTATAGTCCAGATTCCCCACTAATTTTTGATTTTACAAAATCAGCTAGCCCTTCTCAGAGGTCTGGATCGTACGAACTCCAACTCTTTGTAATGTGTGTTTTTGAATAGGGTGAGCATGTAGCGTACAGGGCGGTTCTTAGGTTCCTAGAAAAATTGGAAACTGAATTTTCCTATGTCCGATTCCATTCTTATATACTGAATCGGGGAACGGAACCGTTCAGGTCCAAGTACTTGTAGATTGAGACTGAGTAATTATTTGTAAAGTTTGTTGTTTGTTGTAATTTTTGTGGGTTGTATTTGTGTCTTTTTTTTAAAAGTAGGGTGCGTAATTGAATTAACTGGGTAGCCAGAACCGAAACCGAAACCTATGTTTTGTGTCGATTCCAATTCCAAATCTTATGAACCTGACCAGTTCCGGTTTCTTCAAATATGCAGGGAACCCAAACCACTCACCCCTAATTTTGAGTATAAACAAATAGATGTTGTTCACTTATCAGTTCATAATTTACTCGAAACACGTCTAATTAGTTAAGAGAATTCACAGCTTATGCATAATTCAAACTCTTATTCACTTTTTTTTTTTTTTTTTTTTGTATGACGAGGATATGTCTGAGTCTGCTTACCATACCTCAATTAATTTCTCGGAAACCTTGAAACTACAATCGAGTAAGAGCTCCAATGGCTACTCTATTAACAATCAAGAAAGAATCTCGAACTTAGAATCTCTTGATTATACACCCCAAAGTCCCTCTCGAACCATTCAAATCAGACTCTTATCTCACTCATCCTCGTACTATCTTTTAAGTCGAAGCCACTATAATAAGACTGATATTGTCCGCTTTAAATTATACCATGAGAAATTTGCTAACGGATACATGTTAAATTAATGTTTTGGTTAGGTACTTGATTTGAAATTTGTAGAATATTTGACAAAGATATCACTAGCATAGCAGATATTATACAAGGGGGAAGCTGTCTACAACTTGGACAGTCTTGAGAGGCTCAAAATATCCTTGGGATAAAGAATCCAAGGCGTAGGCTCCATGCCTCTCATATCCTCCATCACTTTTCTGACGCTTCTGAATCCATTTTTTAACTCCAAATATTTTAAACAATGTGTTTCTAATGTGAGTTTTAAAAAAAAAAACAAAAAAATCTACTTCTGAATCCTACACATCCACGTCATGGTCCCCAACAGTAAGAACGAACCAAAGAGATGTGTACTATACTTCAATCCACAATTCCAGATCGATTCTCGTTCGACCGTAAATATCATATATTTCTTTATAATATTACTTAAGGGTCATGACGGTCATTGTCTATGAGATAGCTATCCTCTAAATATTGAGGTTTCTAGGCCTGTCCCACACTCATGACATGTGTCAAGTCCAGGGGACTCAGCCTCTCAGTCTTTTTGAAAACATAAAACATTTCCTTTAACAAGTTAATCAAAACGAAATAGTAACAAAAATAAAGTTATAAAACCATAAAAGGAAGGGACCTAGAGGACCAATTACTAGAATATCTTGTAAAATTTATACTAAATTTCTAAGGACACAATTTCTAAAACATTTACAATAGAAGATTCTTCTGATTTTTTTTTTTCATTATGTTGTATTTTAAAAAACCAAGACTATTTTTTTTTTTTTTTTTTAACTATGTATTCATACTTTACCAATATATAACTTCAAGGGAGAAAACTATATTATACATAATCCACCGCGTCCATGGCTCCTTAGGAAAGATGCATTTATTCCTAACAAAAGCTCATTTCAACCGCATACCTAACAATCTTAATTAAAAAAAATTAAACCCTTTGTGAAGGTAGTGTGAACAAGACATTAACCTATTAAACTCTAATTATTGACCAATCAATCTATAATTAAGCCAATTCACTATTATAACACAATGTAAATTCATATAGTTATTTTGAAAATAAGTTTTTCTTTTCCCCTTAACAAAATTCAAACCCTCTCTCAATGTTTCAAGTATTATTCATCGAGCTACAATATTAATCTTTTCAAATTCAAACACATCCTTTAAAATTTTAAAACCTATATTCTATTAAATTCATATATTTTATGAACTTAATAACAATTATTAAGCGCGTTACACACTAAACTCTAACACTTAAAAAAAAATATTAAAGCTTCCAGCTAGGGGACATCTCTTTCTCTGGTTCATCGGTCTCGGTCGTCAGTCTCCCTCGCCGAACCTGAAAGCGTCGGAGACTTCACAGAAACCGGCTGGCGCGGCGTGGCAACCACTTGATACTTGAAAGGTCCGGTTGTGGGGTTAACTTGGGAAGAGATGGCTAGCTAGCCTTTTATGGCTAGTGAACACAAGTCCTGGAGAGTGAGCGGCGCCTGAGACTTGGAGAGTGGCATGAGGAAGTAAATTTGACCCTGTTGGAGTTGTTCTTCTTTTGCGAGATGAGGGACTTGGGAGCCGATGAACATGGACTCGGAGCTGCAGAGATAGCAGTTGGGGTTCTGGGAGAGGATGTTTCTGGCTTCAATGGGTTCTCTAAATTCCTGTAGCCGTCCATCCAAGTGAATGATCTTGACTGTGAGTGGCCTCTTGAAGTTGTTGTTGTTGTTGCCACCATTTCCCTTCCTGTATGAAGGAGATATTGCGCAATTCCCCATTGATTGATTCTGTAAAATGAGCTGAGCTGAGTTGAGTTGAGTTTGGTTGGATTGGATGAGGAAGAAGGTAAAGAGAATTGTGTTATATATAGGGAGAGAAAAAGCATATTTCAAGATCGACATTCCAACAGTGATTCCTGCTGTATTATATAATATTAAGTACAAGCACTTGGAATTTGATATATGTAAGAACTTTTTATTTTTTAACCTTTATGGGCTGCTAAGCGAAGATATGTGAAGTCAGTGATTATGTATGATTATAAAGATAATCATCTATGATTAATTTAATATAAAGAAAAAGCCACATGACATTTACTAGTGGATCATAGACTAGTTTTCTTTTTTAATAATTGAGATGTTCGGTTCAGTTTACGTACATTTTAACTAATCTTCAGGGAGAGTTATCCCATAACAACTTACAGTCGCAACCCTCCAAATAAATCATGAGTAAATGTATTATCTTTACACCTAACAAGGAATCAAACCTAGGATTAAAGGTTAGACCATTTGTAGCCTCATCGGTTCGCCCTTACCCTGGACTACCCATGGGTGGGTAATTGTTGCATGTTTGCTTCCAGGATCCACTAGAAAATTAAAGATGTTAGGAGGATGATAACTTGAAAATCCGGACTAATTTGTATACACCTCAACTAATCCTTGAAATCTATTGTATACCCTACAAACTCAAAAGACTAGGTAAGCTATAATGTTATTGTGGTAAGTGAACCAATGTTTGAATCCAGAAATTCAAGGAATGGAGTAAATCTCTTTAATCGTCAGGCTAACCTTTAGGGTTAAATCGATATACTATTCATTAGTGTATGCCTCCCATTTACAAAAAGTATTAGCATAGTTTTAGCCTATCAATCTAGAATATACTCAAATAATTAATAAGAAAAAGAAAAGCGTGTGTTGGGAGGAGAAATGTACAGATTTTGATAGTGAGATCACGAGGGGACACATTACAGGAAGGTAGAGAGGAGAAAGAATCGAGGTCAATACAGGGAAATTGACAAAACCGCGGCCTTCAATTAACAATTTATGATGGTCGTGTGATTCACATTTGAGAGGCAAAGACTTGGTTTCTGAAACTGCTTTTCCTCTTTTGACCTTTTTTTTCTCTTCTCATTGGATCTCTAATCCTTTAATGGGGTCCCTCCTCCATTTTATATAATCACTTCACTTGCTACACGAATGAGGATGAAGCAGATGAATTTAGATACAGTGAAAGGTCTTAACAATAATTTATAGTCAATATTCTTCACATATATATGGTCATTCTTTAATCAAACAATCGCTTTAATTAATCTTTATTAGGAAGTTCAGAAATCGGATCAGTTTGAACTTACTTTAACTAATACCTTAAAACTCTGAAACTACAAATAATCGTACAAGAGCTTTAGAGGTTACTATATATTATTAACAGTAGCGGGCTTCGAATTCAGAAAACTATGTAAATTTAAATATTTTTTTGTCTTTACCATTAATTGATTAAAGTTTCCCTTAGCATTATTGTTACTTTTCTCTGTAGATGTCACTTCAAATGGAATAATATGAGCATTTACACTTTAATTTCTTTGACTCTTTCTTGTTGGAATAACCAAGAACAAGCTCAGCTCCTTCCCCAACACATGCATCTCACTTCTTGACTCTCTTTTAATTTGATTTCTTCACGTGATTTTCCGCCTTCATTGCATGTAGCTTTCACTATATATCATAGCAAATTTCGACTGTTGTTTCCATATTTAACAAAAATTAAAATTAAAATTCTAAAAAATATCTTAGTTGCAAGAGATAATGAGATTGTATTAACCCTAAGGGATTGGTCTGGCGATTAAACAGGTTTGCTCACTTTCTTGAGATCTTGGATTCAAACCTTGTGGCCATCTACCTCAATAATATTGTGGCTTATCTAGTCTTTTGAGCTTATAAGGTGTTTAATGGATCCGAAGATTAGTTGAGGTGCGCACAAGCTAGCCTGAACACCCTGATTATTAAAAAAAAAAAAAAAAAAGGGTTGTATTTACAAGAAAAGCAACGACTAGGGTTTTCTCTGAAACTTAACTGGAAATGCAAATTTTTTTTTTTTTTTATGAATAAGGATGTCTGGGCCAACTTATGTACACCTTAACAATACCTCGAGATCTTGAAACTATCGGTCGAGTAAGAGTTCCAGTAATTACTCCTAATAGCAACCGAGGAGGGACTCAAACTCCAAACCTCTTGAGTAATATACTCAAGAGTTTCTATTGAACCACTTGCCTACCCAGAGATAGTTAAAGTGCAAATTCTTTAAGTCTGCCATCTTGCAGGATCACTTTGGCCGTGGCTACATTTGTTGCCTAACGAACTGAAAATGCCCATATGTTTTCTTGATCAATTTCATGAAAAGATTCCAATCCCATGTTTTTTTCGAAGCAAACCAATCATAAGACCATTCGGCTAACCCCTCGTGGATGGATGAATAGTACAAGAATTTAATTATATACTGAAAATAAATAGATTCGAAGCTATTGCTATGGCATATTGATGTGGTCAAGATTTTGTCGCAAGAGTAATACTACATCAACAACCCTTTCTCACAACTCTGACNTTCCTACCAACAAGCCCATTGTTTTCAGATAAAATAAGAATGAACTAAAATAATATATAAGAAACTTTGACCCTTTCATAGACTGAAAGGTTAATTTAGACTCCCTTTATTATATGCATAGCCAAGTTGAGGACTTTAATTACTAAGTAAAGTTGACTGGTGCAGCGACTAACTACCTAGGGGATGATTGCTTTGTAGACTATTCCTATAAAGAAACCTCTTTAAAATTTTATGCTGATATTTTGCAAGGTCTTTCTCAATTCTCTGCTATGGATCTCATGAACATTAACACTGTTGCTTCAAAAACTACCACCATGCTCCTCTCCAATGGTTAGCATCATTTTTGCACTTTCTGTTTTCTACTTTGACTTGTCTTTTGCTGAACACTATTTCTCATCTCAGCTCCTGGCATCCTATGCGATTCAAGGGATGTTTCTAAGATGTGTTCAACTCCAAATTCATCAAGACTAATGCATAAGCAATATATGGACTTATCATGGATCAGGAGAGATGGATCATTGAAGCGGCTAATTTGCAGAACTCCAAATTCTATCAGAAGTACTTTTTATTTCTTCTTTCTCTGCCTTTTTTACGGAGACAATTTTCATTTCATTGTGTTTTTTAACATTATTTATGTATTTATGTATGTATATATATATAAAGGTGTGGAGAGGAGTGGAAGATTCAAAGTGAGAGCTTTTACAGAAGAACAAGAGGCTTTGGTGGTTAAGTCTTGGAATTCTATGAAGAAAGATGCTGGAGAACTTGGTGTTAAGTTCTTTTTGAGGTCATCAACAGCCTTCCTTTATTATTACATTTTAGTTTCACATTCCTTTCATTCTAACTGAAGGGTTGGTTGTTAACTTTGAAAACTTTACAGGATCTTTGAGATTGCACCATCAGCAAAGAAGCTGTTCTCCTTTCTGAGAGATTCAGATGTTCCTGTAGAGCAAAATCCAAAGCTAAAACCCCATGCCATGACTGTCTTTGTTATGGTCTGTTAATTCTCTTCACATCCTTCTATTTTAGCTGAACAATCAGCAATGTTATTTGCCTAGGATCTTACAATTTTTGCATTTATAATATATTGCAGACCTGTGAATCTGCTGTGCAACTTAGAAAGGCTGGCAAAGTTACTGTGAAAGAGTCCACTCTAAAAGATTTAGGTGCCACTCATTTAAAATATGGTGTTGTCGATGAACACTTCGAGGTAACACTTTTGCTTATTGAGTATCAACAAGTTAAAACAAAGTGCAGATCAATCCTCAAATTGCTTGTTTAATTAATAAACTGCAAATAGTCCTCTGGACTCTCCCAAATGTTGGAGTTGTCGACCACTTCAGCATTAATAGGCCACACTTTTCTCTTGTAGCGGGGGGTAGCAATCAATAGGACAAATTCAGTGAGATGTGAGGTAGTATTGAAATAATATTGACTGTGTTGGACATAACTTGTTAATTGGGTAAACCAGGGTAAATCGCGCGTTTTCTTCTTTCTCTTTACTGTTTGTGTTTGCGTGTTTTCTGTTTATTCTGTTTTTCGTATATTCCTATGTAGGGTAAGAAGTTTGAACAGAATTTGCTCAATTACGAATGAAATTTTATGTATGTGTTACAGGTAACAAAATTTGCCTTGTTGGAGACCATAAAAGAAGCAGTACCAGATATGTGGTCACCAGAGATGAAGAATGCATGGGGAGAAGCTTATGATCAATTGGTATCCGCCATAAAAAATGAAATGAAACCTTCTGTATAAGTTTCATACGTATCAGTGATAGCTTTTAATGAAAATTAAGCTTGAAATATTCAATCTTTCTCCAAATAGATCAATGAGCACTCTGATTATCTTCTGGGTTTTCTACCATTTACTGCCTCTTTACATTACTATATCTGTACTAAAGAACAATAAATAAATTTTTTATTGATGATCAAATATTATCAGGCCTTATGAACCCATTAAATGTTTTCATGAGTTAAAACATGAACACAAATTGCCCTGCAGGGTCATGTCCAACAAGCCATGAGCCAAAAAGTAAAGTCAAGTTTTTCTTTCTTCTACTGAGAGTAATCAATCACTTTTTGATGACTTTGAGGATGGTAAATGGCAGAACTGTTTTGAACACGGATTATTAAAGTGTGAACAGAACAAGATCCAGAATCTTGTAAAGAAGATGAGAATTAAGAATTAGATGAATATAACATTAAAAAACAAATGTTCATGTCAAAGGGAAACCGAACCGTAAATCCTAAATCCAACTTAGTAGATACAGATATATTGTCCATTTTGAGCTCCCACACGGATTTGCTTTTGGGTTTCACTCGAACATATTTCAACCAAAACACGACTATTTAGTTAAGTGGATCCCCAAGTCTTATAAATTTGAATCCAAACTTCCTTTTTTGGTATCCGGGGTGTTCGAGCTAGCTTGTGCGCACCTTAACTATTTTTTTGATGCCCTGAAGTTAACTGTCAAGTAAGCCTCCAGTGACTATCCTAGTAGTCGTGGAGATTCAAACTCAAGACCTCTTGAGTAATACACCCAAGAATCCTAAACAAAGCATCAAACTACTTAGAGATAGTTGATCCAAACTCATTGAATAATGTGGAATGTGACAATAAGATACATCAATGTAAGCCAGACTTTACTAAATTTTTTTCCTAAAATATAACTTGAGTTCTTGGATATGCCTTCAAATACAAGTGGGAAACTGGGTATGCAAGTATCTAATATAAAATATTTGACTTAAAAGACTTGCCAAATGGCGTCCCCTCCAAGCATACTGAATGAACAAGTAAACCCATCAAGTAGTCAAAACCAAGTTCTCTTTGCACAGCACATTGTTTCTGAATGTGACCAACAAAAGTGGCTCCTCATTGCCATGAAGAGTTAATCATCTCAATATAAAATTGTGTATGCAGGATTGTTACAAGCATCTGGGCACCAATTTTTTCAAGTCATCATTTTGTGTATCACATTCAATCTTTAGTTAGTATCTGTTCATTGATCATCACCAATGGCCATGAATACTTGTGAAGGCAAAGGAAGCTTCACTGAAGAGCAAGAAGCTCTAGTTGTCAAGTCATGGAATGTAATGAAGAAAAATACTGGAGAATTGGGTCTGAAATTCTTCTTGAAGTAAGCATATGCCTGTACTTGATCTTCCTTAATATTATTATAAATTTTTCTCCACTATTGATTTCTTTTTCTTAATAGGATATTTGAGATTGCACCATCAGCCCAGAAGCTGTTCTCATTCTTGAAAGACTCAAATGTGCCTCTAGAGCAGAACCAGAAGCTCAAGTCTCATGCCATGTCTGTTTTTGTCATGGTGAGTTCATTAATAGGCAATATTATTGATTAAATCAAGCTTATGCATTTTCTTTTAATCTAATTTTTGTTTGTGTAATGTATTTTACAGACATGTGAATCAGCTGTACAACTCAGGAAAGCTGGAAAAGTAACAGTAAGAGAGTCAACTCTGAAAAAATTAGGAGCTACCCATTTCAAATATGGAGTAGTTAATGAACATTTCGAGGTATGAAATTCATTCTGTTATTGAAAACATGCATACTTTCTTGTTTTCTCTGGAAGTTAATTAATTTTATGGCCATATGAACTGTTCAACAGGTCACTAAATTTGCACTACTGGAAACCATAAAGGAAGCAGTTTCAGAAATGTGGTCACCAGAAATGAAGAATGCTTGGGGAGAAGCTTATGATCAATTGGTTGCTGCTATAAAAGCTGAAATGAAACCTTCCTCTTAGAATTGCTGAAAAAATAGAAACAATAAATACGGTTGTATACGTCGTATTTTGTATCTTTTAGTGTTAGTTGATGATAATAAACCGTTTGATTATTGTCTCAGCCATATTCCTCGAGGTTTGCAGAAGAGATGGACTGATTAAATTAAAGAGTAATGCTACAGTTACTGAAGATTGCGCACCGAATGACTTGGTAAAATCCTAACCATTTATTCATTATTAGTTAATATTAATCAACGGTCAAGATTTTGTCCCATCATTTGGTGTACAGATTCGGTGTACAACCTTCGGTGGCTCTATTATTTTTCTAAATTAAATTCCTTTAATTTCAAACAGTAAAAGTGCCCTTTTGAGTGAAAAAGCTGGGCAAAAAGTTCGGGTCCTCCCCAAGAACGGCCCCTGTAGGACCGGTCCCAGGCTCGGGCCTGGCCCGATTATTTTTAGAATGCCTCTTACCAAATAATCAAAGCCCTCTGGACAAATAACCAAATCCCTTTATAATATATGAAATACATTAAAAATTTACAGATCATTCACTTGTAAATTACAAAAACCTCCTTACATAATTATATAAATATATATAAAATTAGGAGGTTAAATGGATATTTACTAGGCCTGTATAGGACTGGCTCAAGGTTGGGACCGATCTAAGCCCTCACAAAAGTGACGGGTCAGGACCGGTCTTTGAGGGCCTGGGTTTGGGACCACCCGGGCCCAACTTTGCCCAAATGGACTAATAAAATTGCAATCTTAGCCGGATCAAACAGTGTTAGATCAAATTAATAACATCAATTAGGGACTGGAATTCTTTTCTACAAAAAAATAAAAATAAAAATTAGTGTACTATAAAGAATAAACAGCGAAATTCCTCTATTAATAATACTGAATGTGAAAACACAAAGGGCTCCAATAATATTTTATTTCCCCTTACAATTCCAAAGCTCTAACAACTATATTGCAGTCAAATATGATCAACTGGCCTTTATCACTCAATTCTCCGGCCACCGTGCACCGCCAGCCTGAGCTTTTTTTTTGTAGATGGTGTTACCTAATCCGAACTGTAAAACATTTAACATCATTTTTGTCCGAAGTACATTGCAATAATTTATCCGATGAGTACCCCATGTGGGCACTAGCTTTAATGGCTAATTTACACAATTCCTGGAGAGAAAATGGAAGGTGTGATTTGGTCAGTGGCATGAGAAAATAAATTTGACCCAGTTGCAGTTCTTCTTCCGCCGCCATGTGTGGCAAGTGAGAGTCAATGTACATGAGTTCTGAGTTGCAAATGAAGCACTTGGGATTCTGATAGAGGACATGGCTGGCTTTGATTGGTTTGTTGAATTCTTGCAGCCTGCCATCCAAGTGAATTATTTTGGCAGTTGATGATGACCATTTTAGGCCTTCTCCAGCCTTGTTTGTGCAGTGAGAAGACGCACAAACTCCCATTGGAATGTCTTTGTTTTAGAGATAGAAAGAGGAAGAGAGAATCGGTATTTGGATTCTGAGAGTTGAGATGCATTTATGTAGGCAACTTATGTGTTAGTCCAAGATTCTCCACTAATGTTTTGATTTTACAAATACAGCTAGTCCTCTTCATCAGAGGTCTGGATCGTACGAACTCCAACTAATTTTGTAATGTTTTGAATAGGGGTGAGCATGGGTAAAGGGCGGTTCTGGGTTCTAGAAAATTGGAACTGGGAATTCCTATGTCCGATTCCAATTCTTATAGTACTAGAATCGGGAACCGGAACCGGATTCAAGGTCCAAGTACTTGGTAGGAATTGAGACTGAATTATAATTTTTGTAAAGTTTTGGGTTGTCTGTGTAATTTTTTGGGGTTGTATTTGTTCTTTTTTTAAAAGTAGGGCGTAATTGAATTAACTGGGTAGCCAGAACCGAAACCGAAACCTATGTTTTGTGTGCCGATTCCAATTCCAAATCTTAGGAACCGACCAGTTCCGGTTTCTTCAAAATATGCAGGGAACCCAAAACCACTCACCCCTAATTTTGAGTATAAACAAAATAGATGTTGTTCACTTATCAGTTCATAAATTTACTCGAAACACGTCTAATTAGTTAAGAGAATTCACAGCTTATGAAATAATTCAAACTCTTATTCACTTTTTTTTTTTTTTTTTTTTATAACCAGGATTGTCTGGGTCTGCTTACGCATACCTCAATTAATTTCTCGGAACCTTGAAACTACCAATCGAGTAAGAGCTCCAATGGCTACCTCTATTAACAATCAAGAAAGAACTCGAACTTAGAATCTCTTGATTAATACACCCAAAAGTCCCTCTCGAACCATTCAAATCAGACTCTTATTCACTCCTCGTACTATCTTATTAAGTCGAAGCCAACTATAAAAGTGAATAGATATTTGTCCGCTTTAAATTTAATCCATGAGAATTTGCTAACGATACATGTTAAATTAATGTTTGGTTAGGTACTTGATTTGGAAATTTGTAGAATATTTGACAAAGATATCACTAGCAGTACAGATATATACAAGGGGGGAAGCTGTCTACAACTTGGACAGTCTTGAGAGGCTCAAAATATTCCTTGGGAGAAAGAATCCAAGGCTGAGGCTCCATGCCTCTCATTATCCTCCATCACTATTTCTGACGCTTCTGAATCCATTTTTTAACTCCAAATATTTTAAACAATGTGTTTCTAATGTGAGTTTTAAAAAAAAAACAAAAAAAATCTACTTCTGAAGATTCTTACAACTATCCACTCATGGGTGCCCCAACAGTAAGGACGAACCAAAGAGATTGTGTATAACTTCAATCCACAATTCCAGATTCGATTCCTCGTTAGACGTAAATATAATATATTTCTTTATAATTTACTTAGAGGGTCATGACGGTCAATTGTTATGAGATAGCTTCCTCTAAATATTTGAAGGTGTTGCTATGGCTGTCAACACTCATGGACATGGTGTCAAGTCCATGGTGACTTCAGGCCATCTCTAGTCTTTTGATAAACCATAAAACATTTCCTTTAACAAGTGAATACAAGAACGAAATAGGTAAAAAAAATAAAGTGATAGAAACCATAAAAGGAAGGAGACTAGGAGACCAATTACTTAGAAATATCTTGTTAAAAATTTTTATACTAAATTTCTAAGGAAAATATTTCTAAAAACATTTAATAGAAGTATTCTTCTGATTTTTTTTTTTTCATTTGTTATTTTAAAAAACCAAGANAAAAAAAAAAAAAAAAAATTATCCTTTAAACCGTTACATTTAAGTCATAGAACATAATCTCCATTGCAGGTGATAGTGTTAGTTTCGGAGAAGGGGGAAAACGTTTATTAAGTCAAATGTTGGGGATAACAGTGTGATTATCCCTTTTAAAAAGCAAAGACTATTGCAGCACATACCTAACACCTTTCCCCAAATATAAACACAAATTTGAATTAAGACTAAATCCATTTAGTACCCCTAAGATATCGAACCTTCAATGCGGTCCCTATATTATCCGACTTATCCAACTACCTCCCCTATTGTTAGTTTTTTTCCGTTAAAACTAATGTTTGACCAATCTTGAATTTTAGAATGATCAAATAACCCCTAAAAATAAGTTTATACAAAATTAAGAAAAATATCTAAATTTTTCAAAGAAATTTTAACTTAGGATAAAAAAATTCAATAAAATTCTTTGAATTTAATATTTTCTTTTTAAATTGATTGATTTTCAATTATTTTTTCAAATTTTTAATGATTTTTGGTTCTTTCAATCTTCTTATGAATTCAATATAATTTAAGATTTTCTAGTATTTTTAAGAATGTTTTTCGAAAATTTCAGGTTTTTCAAAAAAATTCTTTAAGGGCAATATTGTCATTTAGTGGTCAAAACTAGTCAAAAGTCAGTTTTAACAGAAAAAAAACTAACGACAAGGGAGATAGTTGGATAATTTGGATAACACAAGGACCAAATTTAATTTCAAATAACCCAGGGGTACTAGAGGATGTAGTCCATTTAAATTAATCCCTTAATGGTGAAGGGTTTGTATGAACAAGATATTGTCTCATATTGACCTTATTAGATTTCTAAATTTTTCTCCATAAAATCTATAAGCAATCAAACATTTAAACAACTCACTCATAGTTTGTCCAACGGTAAGGGCGAACCAAGGAAGATGTGTATAGAGCCCCGTCGCTCACCACTTAGTGGCTCCGCTGTTATGGTTGTTAACACGGACATGAAGTCAAGTCCATAGTGACTTTAGTCCCCCATTTCTGTCTTTTGATAAACCCATCTCTTTAACAAGTCAATACAAAAATATAAAGTGATAGAAACCATAAAAAGGAAGGAGACTAGGAGACCAAATGCTTAGCAATACCATATTGTATAACTTTTAAAAGGGTTTATTACACTGACACCCCTAAGATTTGGTAAGTCCCCCCCACCCCTGATTTTGGGAAACTAACACCCTCACCCTCAATTTTTGTCAGTTAAATATAACAGTATTAATCATTTTGATATTATTGCATTTCTCACATGGGAAAAAAGGGTCGATAGTTTATTAATTTTTTTTTTTTTTTATCCTTAGTACCATTATATTTGAGTCATAGGACATAATCTCCATTGTAGGTGATAGTGTTAGTTTCCAAAAATGGGGGAAAACGTTATTATATCAAATCTTGGGGATAACAGGTAATTATTCCTTTAAAAAACAATATATATTTCAGCACATACCGAACCTAACACCTTTCCCCAAATATAAACACAAATTTAAGTTAGGACTAAATCCATTTAGTACCCCTGAGATATCGAAACTTCATCCGGTCCTTGTGTTATACGAATTATCCAATTACCTCCCCTATTGTTAGTTTTTTTTCCATTCAAACTAATGTTTGACCAATTTTGACTTTGAGAATGACCAAATAACCCCTAAAAATAAGTTTATACAAAATTAAGAAAAATATCTAAATTTTTCAGAAAAATTTTAACTTAAGATAAAAAACTCAATAAAATTCTTTAAATCTAAGATTTTCTTTTTACATTGGTTGATTTTCGATTATTTTTCCAATTTTTTTAATGATTCTTAGTTCTTTAAATTTTCTTATGAATTCAATATAATTTTTAGATTTTCTCGTATTTTTAAGAATTTTTTTTTTAATTTTAGGTTTTCCTTTAAAATTTTCAAAAAACATCTTTAAGGGTAATATTGTCATTTAGTGGTAAAAAACAATCAAAAGTCAGTTTTAACGGAAAAAACTAATGACAACAAGGGAGATGGTTGAATAATTTGGATAACACAGGGACTAGAATAGAACTTCAAGTAACCCAGGTGTACTAGAGATTTAGTCCATTTAAATTAATCCCTTAATGGTTAAGGCTGTGTATGAACTCGATATCGTTGAATTGACCTTTTTAGGTCTCTTAATTATTATCCATAAAATCTATAAGCAGCCAAACATTTAAAGTTTTAAACAACCCACTTATGGGGGTAGCCTAACGATAACGGTGAACCAAGGCATATGTGCTTAGATTTAACCCATAGTTTTAGGTATCGCGAGCGGTAGGTTGATAGTTTCTTCTGAGAATTAGACGTGTTGGAGTCTCACACTGACTAGACATGCTCAAGTCTACTAGTTTATAAGAAGGGATAATTCTCTCATTCAACAAGACTTTATTGGGTGAAATCTACTGGTATTAGAGCTCAGATTCAGTTGAGCTGAGTGCTTGACCAGCGGATGAGAAGTTAGAGTCGACAACTATTTCTAATAACAGACATAACCTAACATATGGGCTTGATCATGAGAGGAAGTGTTAGAGTCTTACACCGACTAGGTACGCTCAAACCTACTAATTTATAACAAGGAGTAATCTTCACATTCAACAAGACCTTATCGAGTGAGGAGTCAAACTCATCTCAAATTATATCAAGTCGAAGTGTGTCGAACACCTCAATTAACAGATAAAATAAAAAATAAACATTTAAACACACAATAATATTATTTATTTATATGAAAATTTTATGTATTTTCTTTTGTCCCTTACACAATAATTGTTCTATTATTACGTCACCCTCCACGCTTTGGGCTCGAGCTTTGCATCAAAAGCTACAATATTAATGTCAAAATCCAAAGCATACCTAATTATAATTAAATTATATTCTAATTAATAAATATATTATCATTAGTCAACAAGCTGATCGTCACTTTGGTTTCATCGTCATCGTCATCCTCTCCTCGCCGGAGCCTGAAACCCGATCGGAACTTCACAGAAACCAGCCGGCGGCGTCGTGACTGCTGCTGCTCGATACTTGAAAGGCGGTTGTGAGGTTAACTTAGGGAGAGCTGAGCTAGCTTTTATGGCTAGCGAACACAAGTCCTGGAGAGTGAGCGGTTCCTGAGATTTGGAGAGTGGCAGGAGGAAGTAAATTTGACCCGGTTGAAGTTGTTCTTCTCCGGCGAGATGGGGGACTTGGGAGCCGACGAACATGGACTCGGAACTGCAGAGATAGCAGTTGGGGTTCTGGGAGAGGATGTGTGCGGCTTTGATGGGCTCTCGGAACTCCTGTAGCCGTCCATCCATGTGAATGATCTTGGCCGTGAGTGGCCTCCTGAAGTTGTTGCAGCCACCATTTTGTTGTGTGTATTGAACCGATATTGCACAATTTCCCATTGATTGATATTCTGTAAACTGAACTGAGTTGAGCTGAGCTGGGGAAGAAAGTAGAGAGAATTGAAGTATATATTATGAAGATCACGTGATCTGTAAGAGGGGTTACGTATATTATGAAGGTAGCGAGGAAGCAACGAGGTCAATAAAGGGAAATTGACGAATTTCAGGGGGCGGGGGTTGTTTCATATTTGTGACGGGAAGACTTGCTTTCAAAAACTTCTTTTTCCCCTTTTGACCTTTCTCTTTTTCATTGGCTGTCTAATCCCTTTCATTAATCCTTTAATGTCTGAGTAAATGACTTTTTCCTATCTAAATAATTGTTTTTTTTTTTTACACGTTTTTCACGAATAAATTTTTTAAATACTACTTTACTATCTAAATTTATATTTTATCGATGAACAAAGAGCAAATTTGATCCAGACTGTTGAGGCTTTTGAAGAGCGGAGGTCGATGAATCTTTTGGTAGTGAAAGGTTGAATTTTGGTGGTTAAGATTGATCAAAAATTGGCTTAGTAGGAGTGACTATACAAACCATAATCACTTGATTATCAGCGATTGGCAGGGTCGACGGGAATAGGGTTTGAAAGAATTTAGTGAGTGATGATCGGAGAAGAGAATGATGGTAGTTTAGGGTTGTAAAGATGTCAGAATCAGGGAAAAGAATGATGATAGTTTGGGGTCGTAACGATGCCAGAATCGGGGAAGAAAATGGTGATAGTTTGGTATATTTTGAAGAGAATCAGGGAAGATTTAGATATGTTTCACATTTGTGAGGGGAAGACTTAGCTTTCACAATCTTCTTTTTCCTCTTTTGACCTTTCTCCTTTTCATTGGGTATCTAATCCCGTTCCTTAATTCCTTTAATGAGTCATCTTTATTTTATCAAATAAAGTTTTATTCACAATTCAATTTTACAAACTCTCTCATAATCCTGATTGATCAGTTTGTAATTAGGCAGGTAGGATCGACAATTGGGTAAGTGAGACATATTACGAGTTGACCAATTACGAGCTGTCATATATGAGTTGTGATATTATATTATAAGTGTAGTATTACCCTTATTTTATATAACAATAAAGATTGACTCACAATCCAATCTTACAACCTTGACGTGACAGCTCATAATTGGATAAACAGGACCCATTACGAGTTGATCAATTACAAACTTCCACGTTAAGATTGTAAACAAAGGTTTGCGAGATTGAGTTATAAATATAATATTGTCCCAAACTTTATATAATCACTTGCTACATGAATGAGGATGTTTTAATTATTATTTTTTTTCACATATTTATAAGTATTATCTGATATAAATATTTTGAAGTTTGAAATTTTTAACGAGTAAATCAAAGGACAGGAAAGTATGATAATTTGATTGGATTAATTGACACTTTTCGATGAAATTAGAATAATAATGCTTATATTGGATTCTCTACTACCAAATTTTGAATTTTGATGCATGAAATTGCCATAGTCCCAAATTTTAATTACATTAATTAATTCCCAATATTTTTCGAGCTGAATGGGTAAAAATTAAGTGCCCTTTCAATTAATTACGTAGCAATCAAGAATTTTTTTATTTTTTTTTAATTGTAAAACCTGTGTTTGGCCTTTTGTAGTGAGCATCCGTTAGTTTCAGAAATATGAGTCTAACCCTTGAGGGTTTTGTGTGTGTGTGTCTAGTGAGTACCTATTAGAAGTGAAATCGAGTTGAGTATCTGGCTTATCGTAAGGGTGAGCGGTTCCGGGTACCCTCCATTTTTCGGGAGAACCGGAACCGGAACCGCATAGTATAAGTTCCCAAAAAAAGGAACCGGAACTGGAACCGGACAGTGCAGGTTCTTCAATTCAAGGAACCGGAACCTAAAATGCAAGTTCCGGTCCTTTCCGGGGTACCCTGTAAAAAATAATTACCCCCTATTAGTTTAAAAAATGATAAAAATACCTTAAAAGTTTACAAATACACCCCTAACAAATTTTGATTATTCATTCATTTGTGTCCAATGTAACTCATAACCTGTAATCTCTAAGCAACACTTGAATTCAATCAATTCATCACAATTCACATACAATTCGTCAATCAAAACCAAAACACAAACAATTATTCATCGCAATTAATGTTATAATTGGCCAATTGGGTATTTATAATATACTAAATATAATTTAGTAAATTTAATATTATAAATTAATAATGTTATACTAATTAAGTGATCATACTACCATGTAAATTGTAATGTTATAATTAATTAAGTAATATACTATTTAATTATAATGTAATATTATAATTAATTAAATTGTTAATCATTTAATTAAGTATTGTAATATTGTTTATAATAGAATGTTATAATTAATTAAGTAATCATACGACATTATCATGTAATGTTATAATTTAAAAATTCTAATCATTTATTAAGTATTATGTAATTAGTAAATTACTAATGTTTATAATATATGTCATAATCAATTAAGTAATAATTAATTATGTAATGTTATATTAATTATATGATCATACAATAATAGTATAATGTAATATATAATGAATTAATTATCATACTATAAATCTATAATTTAATATTATAATTAATTAATTTCAAATCATTTAATTATATCTAATGTTTATAATGGAATGTTATAATTGATTAAGATCATATTATAATATATAAGGTAATGTTTAAATTAATTAAATTTTTAATCGTTTAACTAAGTAATGTATATATAGTAAATTACTATATTTATATGTAATGTTTAATTCATAACTAATTATGTAATCATTTAACTATATAATGCTATAAAAGTAAGTGATTTATATATATATAATATAATAATCTTATAATTAATTGAGTATTATTTAATTATAATGTAATGTTAATTAATGTTTATAATGAAATGTTTATAGGGTAATGTTAAATTATTATATTGTGCTAAGGTTTATGTAGTAAATTAGTAATTACTAATGTTTAAAACATAATATCATAACTCATAATCAGTTAAGTAATCATAATTATGTAATGTTATAATTAATTATGTGATCATACTATAATGTAATGTTATAGTGAACTAAGTAATCAGATTATAGATCTTTAATGTTTATTTAAAATTATTAAAATTTTAATTGTTTAATTAAGTAATGTAATATAATAATGTGGTAAATTACTAATTTTTATAATAATGTTATAAATTTATAACTAATTAAGTAATCATTTAACTATATAATGCTATAATTAATTAAGTGATCATAATATAATGTAATATAATAATGTTATAATTTAATTAAGTTTATTTACTATAGTAATATTTAATTAATTAAATTTTTAATCATTTATTAAGTAATCATTTGTTTATAATGTAATGTTATAATTAATGTTTATAATATAATGTCATAATCAATTAATAATCATCTAATATGTATGTTATAATTAATTATGTAATCAATTTCATACTATGATGAAATAGTGAAATGTTACAATGAATTAAGTAATCATACTATAAGTCTTTAATATAATATTATAATTAATTTGTTTATAATAGAATATTATAATTAATTGTAATCTTAATTATAATGTAATGTTACAATTAATTACATAATCGTACTATAAATTTATATATAATGTTGTAATTAATTAAATTTCTAATCATTTATTAAGTATTATGTTAATGTTTATGTAGTAAATTAATAATTAATATAATGTCATAATCAATTAAGTAATCATTTAATTATGTAATATTATAATTAATTATAATCATACTATACTGTAATGTGATAGTGAATTAACTATAAGTAATCATACCTAAATTTAATGTAATATTATAATAATTAAATTTTTAATCATTTAATTAGTTTATATATGTTTATAATAAAGTTATAATTGACTAAGTAATTATACTATAAATGCTTAATTAATTAAATTTTTAATTATTTAATTAAGTAATATACTAAGTTTATAACTTATAAGTCAATTATTAAGTAGTAATCAATTAATGTAATGCTATAATTAATTATACTATAAATCAATTAAGTAATGTTATAAAATTATAATTAATTAAGTAATCATTTAACTATAATGTAATGTTATAATTGATTAAGTATGATATTTAACTAGTAATTAAATTTATTAATGTTTATCAATTTATCATATATAATTAATTAATTACTAATTTATTATAGATATACTTAGAACTTGATAATTGAAGTAAATAACTAAATATATTATTACTCCATCAAATATACTATTTTATTCAAAAATAATTCTTTTAATAACATTAAAAATATAAAACACTTTTAATTGGATCATAATTCCAATTATTCACTTAATTGATTAAAACTTTAATATTAATGTATTATAATAGAGTAAACAACAAATTCCCACCCAAGGTTTGACGAAATCCCAGGTTAGTACCACTGGTTACATTTATTCCAGATTCCCACCCTTAAAGTAACAGTGTTATGAATTTTTAGGGTTTAAAGGGTACAATTACCATAATGCCCTTAACCCTAAATTAATTAAAATTATGTTTTAACCCCTAAAATAGTAGAATTACAAAACTTACCATTTTATTTTCAAATTATATCAAAAACACCCTCGGTCACTATACACCCTCACCGAAAACAGCCCGATCTGGGCTGTTTCCGACGACGTCGAACCCCCTGGTCACCTCCATCACCTTCCCCGTAGTCCGTCGTCCAAAACCCCTCTGGTTCCCGACTCATTTGCCCCTCCAATCGCCGGCACCGTTAGGCTTAGGGTTTTGGTGTTCTTCATCGGATTCCGGCCGATTCCGACGGTGAAAATCCAATTGGACACCACCAATGCAACCACCGTCCCCAAATCTGTAAAACCCCTATGTCCCCAGCAACCGTTTCGTCGTCATTCGCTGGCCGAGAGTTCGTGTTCATCGGCCGTTTTTCGTTGCCGTGGCCGGAGATCGGCGAGTGATGAGGGGTTGTGAATGGTATGGTTTTGTAGAGGGGAGGATGGGGGTTCAAATGGTGGTGACTATGGTGATTTTGGGTGGAAGAATCGCCGGAAAAGAGCGAAAAACGTAGGGAACGACGGCTGCTAACGTGCGCTGGGGGAGTGTTATAGGCGGTGGTCTGCTAACGTGCGCCGTCCATGTAAAATGACCAATTTACCCCTTTACCGTTACATCAAACGTTTTTCCGTCACTTTAAGGGTGGGAATCTGGAATAAATGAAACCAGTGGTACTAACTTGGGATTTCGTCAAACCTTGGGTGGGAACATGTCGTTTACTCATTATAATATATTAAAGCTTTTAATATGGTGTAATTTATCTGTAATAAGTATAATTATATTCGTATATCTATTTTAAAATTTTTTATATGTAAAATAATAGAAACCCTCCATTATTCACATTTCACAAATATTTCATTGTAGTCCAGGTTCCAAAACAGGTTCCAAAACAAGTTCCAAAATAGGTTCCAAACAGGTTCCAAAACATTTAAAGTTTTAAACAACCCACTTATGGGGGTAGCCTAACGATAACGGTGAACCGAGGCATATGTGCTTAGATTTAACCCATAGTTTTAGGTATCGCGAGCGGTAGGTTGATAGTTTCTCCTGAGAATTAGACGTGTTGGAGTCTCACACTGACTAGACACGCTCAAGCCTACTGGTTTATAAGAAGGGATAATTCTCCTATTCAACAAGACCTTATTGGGTGAAGCCTACTGGTATTAGAGCCCAAATTCAGTTGAGCTAAGTGCTTGACCAGTGGATGAGGAGTTAAAGTCGACAACTATCTCTAATAACAGACATAACCTAACATATGGGCTTGATCATGAGAGGAAGTGTTAGAGTCTTACACCGACTAGGCACGCTCAAACCTACTAATTTATAACAAGGAGTAATCTTCACATTCAACAAGGCCTTATCGAGTGAGGAGTCAAACTGATCTCAAATTATATCAAGTCGAAGTGTGTCAAACACCTCAATTAACAGATAAAATAAAAAATAAACATTTAAACACACAATAATATTATTTATTTATATGAAAATTTTATGTATTTTCTTTTGTCCCTTACACAATAATTGTTCTATTATTACGTCACCCTCCACGCTTTGGGCTCGAGCTTTGCATCAAAAGCTACAATATTAATGTCAAAATCCAAAGCATACCTAATTATAATTAAATTATATTCTAATTAATAAATATATTATCATTAGTCAACAAGCTGATCGTCACTTTGGTTTCATCGTCATCGTCATCCTCTCCTCGCCGGAGCCTGAAACCCGATCGGAACTTCACAGAAACCAGCCGGCGGCGTCGTGACTGCTGCTGCTCGATACTTGAAAGGCGGTTGTGAGGTTAACTTAGGGAGAGCTGAGCTAGCTTTTATGGCTAGCGAACACAAGTCCTGGAGAGTGAGCGGTTCCTGAGATTTGGAGAGTGGCAGGAGGAAGTAAATTTGACCCGGTTGAAGTTGTTCTTCTCCGGCGAGATGGGGGACTTGGGAGCCGACGAACATGGACTCGGAGCTGCAGAGATAGCAGTTGGGGTTCTGGGAGAGGATGTGTGCGGCTTTGATGGGCTCTCGGAACTCCTGTAGTCGTCCATCCATGTGAATGATCTTGGCCGTGAGTGGCCTCCTGAAGTTGTTGCAGCCACCATTTTGTTTTGTGTATTGAACCGATATTGCGCAATTTCCCATTGATTGATATTCTGTAAACTGAACTGAGTTGAGTTAAGCTGGGGAAGAAAGTAGAGAGAACTGAAGTATATATATAAGGAAGAACTAAAGAAAGAAAAAGCAGATTTCAAGAATGACTTTCCATTTTCCAATGGTGCTTAATTCTCTATATATTATGAAGATCACGTGATCTGTAAGAGGGATTACATATATTATGAAGGTAGCGAGGAAGCAACGAGGTCAATAAAGGGGAATTGACGAATTTCCGGGGGGCGGGGGTTGTTTCAATTATTAGATATGTTTCACATTTGTGACGGGAAGACTTGCTTTCAAAAACTTCTTTTTCCTCTTTGGACCTTTCACTTTTTAATTGGGTATCTAATCCCTTTCATTAATCCTTTAATGACCCATCCTCTATTTCATATTTTGAGTAAATGATTTTTTCCTATTCAAATAACGGCTTAATGATACTTTTTCATCTATAGACTTTTAAAATACTATTTTATTATCTAAATTTATATTCCAACAATAAATAAAGAGCAACCTTGGTCCAAGCTGTTGAGGTTTTTGAAGAGGGGAGGTCAATGAGTCTTTTGGTGGTGAAATATTGAATTTTGGTGGTTAGGATTTATCAGAATTTGACTTGGTAAGAGGGACTATGCAAACTCTAATCATTTGATTATCAGTGATTGGCGAGGTCAGCGAGAGGAGGGTTTGAAAGATTTTAGTGAGTGATGATCGAGGAAGAGAATGATGGTAGTTTAGGATTGCAAAGATACCGAAATCGGGAAAGAGAATGGTGGTAGTTTGGGGTCATAACGATGCCGGAATCAAGGAAGAGAATGGTGGTAGTTTGGTATATTTTGAAGAGAATCGGGGAAGACTTGCTCTCAAAATCTTCTTTTTCCTCTTTTGACCTTTCTCTTTTTCATTGGGTATCTAATCCCTTTCGTTAATTCCTTTAAAGAGTCATCTTTATTTTATCAATAAAGATTTATTCACAACCCAATCTTATAAACTCTCTCATAATCCTGATTGGTCAGTTTACAATTAGTCAGGTAGGATCAACAATTGGGTAAGCGAAACACATTACGAGCTGACCAAATGCAAGCTGTCACATATAGGTTATGAGAGAAAAATTGTGAGATTAGATTATAAGTGTAGTGCCCTTATAAACTTGTAATTGGGCAGAAGTCCCAAATTTTAATTACATTAATTAATTCCCAATATTTTTGGAGCTGAATGGGTGAAAATTAAGTGCCCTTTCAATTAATTATGTAGCAATTAAGAATTTTTTTTTTTTTTAATTGTAAAACCCGTGTGTTTGGCCTTTTGTAGTGAGCATCCATTAGTTTTAGAAATACGAGTCTAACCCTTGAGGGTTGTGTGTGTGTGTGTGTGTGTCTAGTGAGTACCCATTAGGAGTGAAATCGAGTCGAGTATCTGGCTAATCGAGTCAAATCTAACTACTCAAACTCGACTCGATTGCTATAGTACTGAATTTGAGTTCGAATTCAAGTCTAACGGAGCTTGAGGAATCGAGTTTAAACTTGAAATCGATACTTGAAATTAGAATTCGAGTTCAAATTTAAGCTTTAATCGAGCTTGATTGAGCTTAATCAAGCTTTTTCGAGTCAAGTTGTATCTTGATCAAACTCGACTCGGGATCAGTCAAGCCCGAGCCAATGCCTACCCCTATTACCCAGTAAAACCTAACGGATGCTGACCACATAGAAAGGCCGGACATATAAAGGTTAAGATTGTATTTCTGATGTCAAATGGATGTTCACTACCAAAAAGATAAAAAAAACATGCCAAATTTTACTATAAAAAAAACTCAGAAATTAGTTACAGTTGGTATTTATTTATTTAATTACAATGATTGATTAAAGTTTCTCTATTATATGCTTTTTTTCTCTGTAGATGTCACCTCAAATGGAATTTAATTAATTACTTTTGTCTTTCTTCTTGGATTAATTAATAACCAAGAACAAACTGATCAGCTCCTTCCTCAAACATGCTCTCTTTTAATTTGATTTCTTCACATGATCATCGTCTACACTTTCCCTATACATCAGGGCAAAAATTTCGAATCTTCAATGATATTCTAGGGCTTAAATAAGTGAAACATGAGTGTTTGGCTTAAAGGAAAATCATAGAGAAAATGAAAGAAAAAAATCTCTAGTATTCATTCAATTTGCAGACAGTTAAAATATATATAACCTTCAAATTTTGAAGTTACTTACAAGGATATATTGAAACCCTAATATATGGTCATCAACTCCGATGATCATCTCCTTTTTCCTCTATAATAACGCTCAACTTTGTAGCAAAATGACCTCTTCCACGACCACGACCAAGACTACCGCCGCCTTGGCGTCTCTGCCTCACCATGGATCCTCGACTACCGGACCTGCTCCCACGTCCACCTCCACTGCCGACGACAACCTTCGGACTAGCCGGATCCAAAATCCTAGGGGCCGTAGTATACATTAAAACATCATCTGTTTTCACCCTACACGACCCGCAACACTTCCGGTCGCCATGGCGGCCACCACCGCCCTTCCTCTTCTTCAAAGCCAAGCTCGCTTTCACGACCAAAGACGCCATCTTCTCGCCTCTGAGCGGACTCTTTAACCAGCTCATCGGCAAGGCAAAGTAAAGCCGACCCGGTTGAAGATCTTCGTCGCCATTAATGATGGAAATGAAGCTGTCGAAGTCCATATCATCCATGTTGGACAAAAAACAGCTGGGGTTTTTCTCTAAAACCTGTGAAACCTTAACTGGACATGCAAATTCTTGAAGCCTCCCATCTTGAAGGATCACTTTGGCCATGGTGGCTACATTCGTTGCCTCACACGAACTACAAATTCCCATATGTTTCTGAAGATCAGTTTCATGAAAATTAATGGAGAGGAAGAATATGCAAACACGTCTAGATTATATAAAAAATATTAATGGATTTAAAATTATTTAATTAGTTTGTTGGTTTATGCCTTGAGCTTGAAGCAAAGAAAATCTAAGAAATTCGTTCGGTCGACGTTCATTCCACAATTGAATTAATTAATTAATTATTGAAATAATTTGTCCTAATATTTTGGATCCATTTGTCTTGACCAACTTTAATTTGATCCAACTCAAGAAACACGCAATGTTCATAGATTTTTAACTATATTTTGGAGGTTTATGTATGATGTGTGACGTAATTAATTAATGGATTATAGAAAGGGTAGACAACTTTTTTCCACCCCAAAAGTTTCAAAATACTATTTTTCCACCCAAATTTAATATTTCGTTACTATCCAAAGTCGATTCCGACGGCAAAAATTCTCTCTGTCACCACTATTTAAACCTTCGGTCTCTTCTATACTAAATCCCTCTTACTCGGGTACTTGATTTCTCGCTGATAGTTGGCTACCACAAAGTTAGGGTTTCCTGTTCTTAAATGATTTTCAATTAATTTTTACGGCGAATATTTAATCAGTCACCACAATTGGATCCATCGACCCCCACTCTACCAAAACTCTTTTATCTTGACTCTTGGTAACTCGTTGAACGCTGGCTGAGAAAGTGAAATATACTTTGGGTATTAACGGAATATAAACTTTGGGTGGGAAAGTGTCATTGAGGCAAACCTTGGGTGGAAAAAAGTCATTTACTCGATTAGAAATAATTTTTTTAATTAATGTTTTGAATGTTACTCAGTTAATTAATTTAAAAACAAATGTTGGACAGTCCGACAGGAAGCCAATTCAGAATGATTTGGAAATTAATTAATTTTGTGATTTTGTTGTATAAACTTTCAGAACTATATTTGGAAACAATGTATATATATATATAGAGTCTGTTTGGATTAGATTCTAGTTGGATCATCCTTGAGATCACGAAGACGAACTAGTCAAAAGAAGATTAAATATAAAGGTTTCTAAATTCTAATCTTCTTTATAAATGTTTAATTATTTAATTTTCTCACGGGTGGATCAAATAAGTCTAAGATTCTTCATTAAAAATATGAAACCTCACATCTGTAACTTCAAGAGAAAAGAGATGCTCATCGCAATGGATAAAAAAAAAATATATTATTTCCCTTCCAAATCAATATATAGCATTCAATTTTTTTTTAATAACTGAGCTTTCTGGACCCCAGGTAAATCATGGGCAAAGGCACTAATCCTCACCATTGTTTTATAACCCGGATCGGACTGACTAGTCGGGCCAGTTTGACTGGGACCCAACAGCCTCTCCTGTCTGGTCCAGGTTCCAAGGGGTTTCTGCTATATTTCAAATTTATAAGGATTACTTTGTACTTTTTAAGGGGTGTTTTTAAAATATTTCAAAACTTTAGAGACTACTTGAATTTTTTGGGCATTCTTGAAATAAATTAAAATTTTAGGGACTAATTTGAAAGTTTTTAGGGGTATTTTAAATATACTATAATTCAGGGACTAATTAGAAAATTTTTAAAATATTTTTGTTGCTGACGTCACTGGTCCAACTGGTTGGATCGGTTGATCTGTGACCCTATCACTTTGTTGGGTCTCACAACGAGTCTAGTTTTAAAACAATGATTCTAAGGGGGAGTTATCCCATAGTAACCCACCACCATGACCTATCAGATAAATCATGGATGAAGATATTACCTTTATACCCGGTAGGAACCGAACCTGAGATTATGAGTTCTACCCATTTGTAACCCTCTTGATTCGCCGTTACTATTGGACTACCCACTGGTAGGTTATAGCAGTCAATTTTGAAGGGCGTGAATCACGAGAGACAATAAGACACTTTGCCTATCCTATTTGATAAAATTTGAGGTGGGTCTGACTCCTCACCCAATAAGGTCTTGTTGAATGGGAGGATTACCCTCTCTTATAAACCAGTAGGCTTGAGTGTGTTTAGTTGGTGTGGGACTCCAACACTCCCCCTCACGGTCAAACCCATATATATGTTGAGTCATGCCTATTATTGAAGGTAGTTGTCAGCTCTAACTCCCCACCCACTGGTCAAGCACTCAGCTTAACTGAACCTGGGCTCTGATACCATGATAAAATTTGAGGTAGGCCTGACTCCTCACCTAATAAATACCATAATAAAATTTGAGGTGGGCTTGACTCCTCACCTAATAAGGTCTTGTTGAAGGGAAGGATTACCCCCTCTTATAAACTAATAGGCTTCAGCATGCCTAGTCGGTGCAGGACTCCAATACTATTCCTAGTCAAGTAGCTAATTAATCAGCTAATGAAGAGATTTGGGAAATATCTTTCATTGATTGATTAGATATCCGTTCTTTGTTTAATTTGTAATTAGTTTATTCTCTTTCACATAGAATTCACTGCATTAAGTTGTTATGTGAATGTTTAAATATATATATATATATATAATTTCATTCCTAAAATTTATTTTAGCTCGGCCCATTTATTTGTTAACTTTTACCTTTGACCCCCATAAATACAACTTTCTGAAATCATGTTTTATATTGTATTATCCCTCTCATAAGTGGAATTAACAGAATCTAGTTTACAAGTGAATATGTATTGATCATTTTCCCAACAATTTTGATTTCTTAGTTTGGTTTGGGTTAACACAATTTAGTGCATCCCATGAGTCTGTTAACACTAAATTATTTTAGAAAAATCAGCAAAAAAGATTATAATATTATATATTTCAACTTCAATTAGAAATAAAATTCACAAACCATTAGTGCAGATTAGGGGTGTTCAAAAAAACCGATTGGAACCGCAATCGGCGAGTACCCTAGGTTTGGTTCCGGTTCGTACCCGGCCGTCAACGGGTAGGTTTTGGTTCCAAATTTTTGGAACCGTTATTGTGCTGTTCCAGTTCCGGCCGGAACCAGGAACCAGGAACCGAGACTAATATAAAATAAAATTAAAGATTAGGGGGGTTAATAAAAACTTTTGTAGAAAAAGTAATGTGAATACATTTATATTTATATTTCATAACATTTAAAATAAGTTGGTTTAACTTTTGAGAATCTACCTTTACAAAGTAATGGAGTTTGTAATTTTGAATTTGTAATTTGTAATTTTATTTTTGTTAACAAATGCCAGATGGGGGGTATTTGTAAGTTTTTAAGGGTTTTTTTTTCTATTTTAAAAACTTTTGGGGGGTCATGAATTTTACAGGGTACCCAGAACCGGAACCGGAACCGTTGTTATAGGTTATGGTTCTTGGTACCTAGGAACTGGAACCATCGATTCTGGTACCTAGGAACCGGAACCGTCGATTCTGGTTCCTTTAAAAAGTATAGGGTACCGAGAACCGAACATCCTTAGTGCAGATAATGTTTTCTTTTTTTTAATTATTATTTGGTGATTAAGATAAGTATATACAACCACTTGTCTTGTGGGCGGGTAGTAAGATTTTAGGCATCTGAGTGGGTTATCTAGAGGTCTTGTGTTCAAGTTAGAACTTCGAAGGTTAGTTGAGGTACACGTAAACAGACCTGGATATCCTAGTTAAAATAATAATAATAATAATAAATTAGATAAGGGTAAATAAAAAAATTGAGATTAAGAGACTATAGTTGAAAAACCCACCAAAATATGCTAACTTTTATTTCAACCCCTTAAAAGGAACCAAGTTATATTCACAACATAGAGTTGAGATAGAATTTGGAGCAAACAACTTTTTCCCACCCAGACAATGGCTTAATGACACTTTTTCACTAACAGACATTTAAATATCATTTTACCACCAAAATATATATTTCGTTTCCGATTCCGGCATCGTTGCAACCCCGCATCACCACCATTCTCTTTTCCGATCATCACTCACCAAAACCCCTCAAACCTTACTCCCGTCGACCCCATCAATCGTCAGCAATCGAGCGATTAGGATTTACGCAACTGCCTCTCTTAAGTCAAATTCTGATCAATCTCAACAACCAAAATTCGACTTTCCATCACCAAAAGACTCATCGGCCTCCCTTCTTAAAAAACCCCAATAGTTTGGACTGAGATTACTCTTTGTTCATCATTGGAATATAAATTTGGATAGTAAAGTGATATTTTAAAAGTCCGTGAGTAGAGAAGTCGTTAACTTTAGAATTTATTAACATAGGGACAAGGGCACATGGACCTTTAACATTCCCCACAAATTAAGATAAAATGAATAAAGGATCGATCATTATGTCATTGAAATTAACCCTGTTGAATAAGAATAAAGTAGTCAATCTCTAATGACGATCTCTCATACTTATCCAATGATCCAAACATAATCGTTATTCATACCATCTGACATCATACAATTCTCGGAAAAGGATAGCATTACCGACGATCGATCGTCGATCATCATCCTCTCGACATCAAGTTCCCAATAACCCCAGCAATAAGAGTGGTCGGATCTCCGAGCACGGCCGAAATCACAAATTGTACCGCCATACCAGCCATCTCGCAGCATTTCTGCACCTTCCCTTTACTCTTCTTGTGGTGAGTCTGCAGAGTGTTCTTCAAACTCGGAATTCTAGTTTCCAATTTCCGGCTTTTCCCACGTCCAAAATATAACTCATGCCAATTCTCCACCAACATATCTTTCACACAAGCCACATGCAAATTATATTTCTTGCAGGCCGACCTGTAACTCCAGCTCCTCCCTTTGCGTCCACATTTGTGACACGAAGAGCTCACCTTCATGTACAGATACAGCTTCACTTCGCCGTCGTCGAGCACCATTGGAAGCTTCGCGCAGCAGGGATGGAGGTCGAACCCACACGTCTTGCAGTGATAGACAAAGCCGGTAACGTCCCTCTCGCAGGCGTTACAGTAGCGGGGTTTGTCCCCCGGCGGCCTCGACAGGAACTGGAAGGAGCATTTGGTGTAAAAAGGGTGAGAGATTGAAGGGGAAGGAACAGCACAGTGTACGTGAAGATCGAAATCACATGTGGAACATTTGTAACGCGATCCAATTCCTACTTCTTTGCAGCCGTCACACTTGAACGGAACTTCATTGTACTCGAATTTGAGCTTGTGTTGAGGGTGGCAGAAGTGGGAAATTTCATTATACTTCATGGTGAGTCTGTGATAATAATTGGCAATGGCTGACCTTTGAGAATTGAAGCGATTATATATAATGGGATTGAAAGGGATTAATGGTTGATTAAGGCTCGTTAATTGGGATTAATTTAGCTTGTTGATTAAGCTAAGTATAGAATTATGCTTGGGAATGGTGAGAATGAAGGAATCCCCACGCAAGATGAGAAAAAGAGTAAACGACTTTTTCCCACCCAAGGTTTGCGTTAATAGCACTTCACGCCCAAAAAGTTTTAAAATATCACTTTCTCACCCAAAGTTAATATTTCGTTACAGCCTAAAGTAGATTGCGTCGGCAAAAATTCTCCCCATCACCACCATTTGAACGTCTAGTCTCCTATGTACAAAACCCCTCTCACTCTGGTACCTAATTTCTCGTCGATTGTCGGCCACCGCAAAGCTAGGGTTTTATGTTCTTTGTTGATTTGTAGCTGATTCTATTGTCGAATATTCAATCGATTATCAACATTCAATTCATCGGTTTCCACTCTTTACTCTAGCTCTTGGCAACTCATTGAACGTCGACTAAGAAAGTGAAGTATATTTTGGGTATTAACGGAATATTAACTTTGGATGAGAAAGTGGTATTTTGAAACTTTTTGGTGGGAAAGTGTCATTAAGGCAAACCTTGTGTGGGGAAAAGACGTTTACTCATGAGAAAAAAGAGAAAGACACAGCATATTGAGTCATGTCCCACGTAATTAAGAAGAATTATATTCGAATTTTCCACTTTAAATCTATTAGTGTATATGTCAAAATTTGTATAAGCAAATCAGGAAAGTGCACTAGATGGAATGAATATTGTATTAGGAATTTTTTCTATTAAAATGAATTATGACGAACAAAAGCATGGTTTCTATAACACTTCTCTCCCGTCAGGTATCCTCTAATTATTCAATTTTGATGAAAACTTAGAGAATTTATGCGTGAAAGATTGTGTAATTTGAAGCATAAATCCTGTTTACAAACATCGTTTATAGTTTCTGGATCTATAAATACTTGAATTATCTCAGGAATGTTGAATAAATCGTTTAACTTTGAATAATAAATGAATAAATTATAGGGAAGATTTTTTATAAAGATGAATCTTGAAACATATGGCTATTCTATAGGACTTTGATGATGGAATCGAATAAGAACAGGGCATATAAAAAGTTGGTCTGGGCCAGATTAATAAAGATAATTAAATCAATTAATTAAGCTAATTATATGCTTGGAATTTTAATCTTTAATCTCTCTTTATCATAAGGCAAAGAATCCGAAACAGGATAGCTTGAAGAATTCATCAATGGATGACTTTGATGATGATGATGAATTTTCTATTATATATCGACTGGAATGGTCATCAAATTCTCAACATAAAAGAATAAAATCTCCAAGTGCAATCTATTTATATCCATTGATCTTGCGCAACATGATAAAGAATAACTTTTTCTTTTGTCATGAATATATATCTTCTTCTTCTTCTTCTTCCATGGAAAGATGTGTTCTCTTAACTTGTATTAAGGAAACATATGCTTGGTGACCTCCATTTGATTTTTTAAAGAAATCTATACACCATAAATTCACTTAATTTGATGCAAATCCCTGGGTGGACGTCACGTGTCATCTTTTTTAGGTTAATTTTATTTACAAATTTGTCATTGTAACAGTATATAAGCTTATTTTTTTAATTCAAATTAGGGATCTGATTTTGATTCATACTTTGTAAGCCTTGCTTGTACACTAGGTTTTAAAACCCGACCTGAGGAGTGACTCGGTCAAGTCACGTTGGCTGGTCGAACCGATTCAACCACCAGGTCGAACCATGATGTCATCATGCTGACGTCATTCTGACATTAACATGACATATAAAAAAAAAAAAAGCGGTTCAACAGCTAGGTCAAACCGGCAATTCGTAACAAAAAAATCGGTCGAACCACGATTCAAACAAGGTCACTTGAAAATTCCGGTTTTTTAGTCGAATCGACCCGGGTTGATCACCAAACCGGTCGGGCCAGGCCGGGTTTTAAAACCATGCTTGTACATAGAGAAAACACAAAAAATAATACAAGAACAGTAAACGTAGGATTTGCACTTAGCATCCGAACCATTTTAATTTTTTTTTCTTATGCTATTGTTTGGTTTCTTATTCATCCATTGATCTAACATCGAAATCACAGGTTTATACAAACTCCTACGTAGATTCGACCATAGAACCTACATACTTCTCATTAGTGCAAATCACAACATCAACATATCCTTTTAATATTATTGATTAAATATATATATTGTATTATCCAATTGTACGATTGTATATATCTTGATCAACTTGTAGGAGTGCTTGGAAAATTCGAAAAACTTGGCATCTTTGCATCCATTATAGCCATTTGTTGACATAACATAACATTAAATGAATCGATTCCCCTTTTAACATTGGAAATAAACTATGTTTCAAGGAGATAATTAGAGAGAGATCTTTGTTAAAGTGTTAGTTCAGCAATATAATATTAGGGTTATACCTGCTTTGATCAGTTTGTTGAAACGTAGATGATGACGATGGTGATGAGATTGTAATGAATATATGCTTTACCAATTACTGAATGAAGTTTCGTTATCAATTTGTACAAAAAAACTTCTGGAATATTTTGCAGTAGTAATGTATTTGTACTTGCCATCTGCAAGCTGCTTCATCTTCATCTTCATCTTCATCTTCATCTTCATCCACACTCATCATCTTATAATTCTCTGCTGATAGCAACTGTACTTGGGTCATAACATATCGATTCTCTGCTCTTAATTCTTTCTTCATTCGTTTTCTTCAACACCTTTTAGTCCTCCTGTCCTTGAAAGCTATTGAATCTTCACTCTCAAAGAATTGTTACGTGTAGGTATTTTGATTTTGACAATTAATTGAGATGAGATGAGTACGTGTAAGTTTTGAGATGAGATGAGTAGTTGGTGTCAAAATCAAGCATGTTTACTCACTATTTTAATTTATAATAAATAAAGAAATTATTTCCTTAATCATTCATAAGTACTTATAATTTTTCGTACATCACAAATATTACACATGTGGGCACAAGACTGCTTTCTAACTATTTGCAATAGTATTTATACAAATGATATATACGAACAGAAAGGCACACATGCGAGAAACAATATTACATAAGAGCTTATCTTATTTACAAGGCTTAAAAGAGTAAGTCTATACAAGAAAATTAGAAAATGAGTTCGAAATTACTGATAATAGGGACGAAGATATTCAGCATTCCAAGCTCGCGGTACTTCGGAACCGTTGAGTCTTTTAAGGTGATAAGTTCCCGGTCATATTACCTTAGCAACGCGGTATGGGCCTTCCCAATTTGGTCCTCACACTCCTGCACTTGGTTCTCTTGTACCGAGAAGGACTTCTTTCAGAACACGGTCGCTGACCTGGAAGTCTCTTCTCCTAACCTTAGAGTCGAAGAACCTTTTTACACACTGTTGGTAGGCTGCTATCCTCATCTGAGCCTTGCTGCAATGTTCTTCAACAAGATCCAGACTTGCATGCATAGGCGCTTCATTGTCTGTTTCATTGAACAAGTCTCTCCGAAGTGAACCAGTCTCTACTTCCACTGGGATCATGGCCTCGCAACCATATGCTAGCGAGAAGGGTGTTTCCGAAGTAGAGGTTCTCAAAGTTGTCTTATATAATTATAGGACTTCTGGGAGGTCGTCGGCCCAATTACCCTTGGCAGCGCCAAGCTTGGCTTTCAAAATATGCTTGATGGTCTTGTTGACAGCTTCAACCTGGCCATTTGCTTGTGGTCCTGTGACTGAGGCGAATTTTTTATGGATCCCCAGGTCATCGCAAAACTACTTGAATTCCCCGTTGTTGAACTATTTCCGTTATCGGAAATGAAGGTATGAGGAATTCCATAGCGGTACACTATGTTTTTGAAGACAAAGTCCTTGAGCTTCTTGGTAGTGATTGCAGCCAAGGGTTCGGCCTCGGCTCACTTTGTGAAGTAATCCACCGCGACCACTGCATACTTGACCCCTCCCCTTCCAACTAGCATAGGTCCAATAAGATCAATTCTCCACATGGAAAATGGTCAGGGGCTGGTCATGGTTATCAGCTGGTGGGAAGGAGCTCGCGGTATGTTCGCGAACTGTTGGCACTTGTCACACTTTTTCACAAAGTTGAAGGTATCATCTTGGAGTAAGGGCCAGTAATACCCTTGACGAACAACTTTGTTGGCGAGGGATCGCGTGGTAGTGTGATTACCACATATCCCTTCATGTATCTGTCTCATGATGTAATATGCTTCCTCATCGGTTACACATCGAATGAGAGGGGCGCTAAACCCTCACTTGTACAACTGATCTCCTATAAGCGTGTAACGAGCAGCTCTAGTTCGCATGGTTCTTGCCTCGATCTTGTCGTTGGGCAAGGTTCCATCTCGGAGATACTGAATAATTAGAGTCATCCAGGAAACTGACTCTGTCACATTCACGGCCTGTTCGGGTGAGCTGATACTAGGGGTCTCTATAAACTGAATAGGAATACTTTTTGGCGTATCTAAGTCCAGCGACGAGGCCATCTTTGCCAAGGCATCCGCGACAGAATTACTGTCTATAGGGATCTGCGTGATCGTGAAGTACTTGAATGGCTCGAGCGCGGCCTTAGCTTTCTTCGTATAACTTATCATGTTTTCTTCCTTGGCCTGATATTCCTCTGAGATCTGGTTAACAACCAGCATGGAGTTGCTGTGAATGCTGATCGCGGTTGATCCCATTTCTTTTGCCAACCGCAAACCAGCGAGCAGAGCTTCATATTCAGCCTCGTTGTTGGTTGCTTTTAACCCAAATCGAAGAATACCGTGGATGCGATTCCTTTCGGGACTAAGGAGGAGAAGGCCTGCCCCGGTCATTTTCCTATTCGAGGATCCATCGACATAGAGGCTCCAGGTCGATAGATTCTAAACAGTTTCCTGGGTGACTTCGTTGGCCTGTTGCTCGGATTCCTAAACTAGTTGATATGAGAATTTCGA